TACTATTATGCCCTTCAACTGTTCAGATGTTAGAACTAGAACTATTCACACCTATGAATCTTTAGCGATACTGTTTTATAGGAATACTTTTTTATGTTAATGCATGTAGGCTATGCTCTGATGTTGTAAGTATATATAGATTTAATAAAAATAAAAACATGGATAGAAATATTTCTCCTTACTCATTTGTCTCAGTACAAAACTAAGAATTGAACCCACCTACAACACTTCTGGTTTTTGCTTGGTTTGATGAGTATTAATCAGCTATAGCTAGGTGGCTGGCAGCAAAAGGCTTCTTCCCAAATTCTGGAAAATGTTCAGGAAAGGCCAAATCCATAACCAGTGACAGTCAATGTCATAACTGGGTCTTTGATCCAGCATAGCATTTGCAAGAATTAGGAGTACAGCTATTTGAAATGCAGCCCTTTCAAGAAAAACTTGAGTTGATTAAGTGCTTATCTAGCCTTATTTGGAGGGAAAAAAAAACCCATTCCCAGATTCCTGCTATAATCCCTCCCTCCCCCCCTCCCTCCCTCTCTCTCTCTCTCTCTCTCTCACACACACACACACACACACACACGCGCGCGCGCGCTACCTACACAGAGCATCTTTTGATAAACTGTTTGTGTAGGTCAGTCATCTATGCCATAGTGCAAGCATAAATCATGTTCACAAGGGCAAAATCTCATATTACTGTTCAGAAAGGTTGAGTTATTTATTCTACGGAGAAGCGTTAAGCGCTTGTCGCTCATCCTTTCTGATGCTTAAACACATAGCCGTGGATGTCTTTGTCCGATCCCTCATTATGCTGCTTCTCCATGCTGACATTGCTGCTCCCGTCTAGTTGCTTTGATGTCGCTTCAGACAGTGTCTTCTCAATTATTTAAAATGCAAACATCTGGATGAAATACACCAGGCACCTCAGGCCTTGCTTTGCACATTCTGACTTGTCAGGCTGGAAGAAAGGTGACATCTGGTGAATTCCATCTATTTGTCTTTCATTAAGGCCTCAAATCAAGCAAAATTAAAGTTTTATGGGTCTTATTTAATTTTAGGATTATTGAAACACAGGTTTCTTCTTCCAAAACTCTCTGTTTTGCAGAAACATAAAGAGGGGAAATTAGGTCAACGTCTTTATCGAGTATTTGAGAGGCACAAATGATGGATGATCAGTTAAAAAAAAGCGTGGTGATGCTCAGGAATCCCTTGGCTATAACCTTAGTGTTTAGTTTTTTTAACCTATCAGGTTGAAAAATGGCTTTGTGCACTGTTTTAATCTATGAAAGCTGCATAAATGTGAATTGCACAGAAAAGGAAATCAAAGCATTCCCTTCGATCCAGCAATAGTTCTACAAATATAACTAAATTTAAATCCAGTACCATAAATACTATTCATAGCTATGACACTTTCCCCACATATATTTATAAAGCATTCTTTTTCAGTTCAGCAATCGTTTGGAAGTAATTCTGGAAAACCCGTTTCTGTTTGCTGAAATGTGAGCATTAAATGGCCAGTCTAAGGAATATATCTCATGTTGTTCAATGGTTTAAATTGAGTGGGATTTTCCCCAGTGCATATCTAGGATTGCAGCTCTAGCAAGATCTTGGACGTCCCCAACCAAGCTGCACAACTTGTGAGGTGCAGTGGCTTGAGCTCCCATCATGGGGGGATGATGGGAGATGGAGTCTGACTCATTTCCAAGGCACCAGGATGCAGGAACAGTGTTGAGCTATCCATCCATCCATCCAGAGTTTTTTTATGCTGTCCCATTCGCGTGAGCCTCGGGACGGCTTCCACCACAAATTAGATTCGGAGTATTCAGTTCCTCCCCTCCACTGGATGATCTTTCAGCCTAACCTTCCTCACAGGGTTGTTGTGAGAATAGCGCAGAGGGGGTGAGCTCTTTGGAAAAAGGACAATAATAATTTATTGTCCAGGGCGACTTACTTTATATTGTTATTTCTTGTATTTTAATTTTATGTTGTGAGCCGCCCCGAGGCTTCGGCGAATGGGGCGGCATAGAAATGTTTTAATAAAATAAAATAAATAATACAAATGCCCTTCCCCTCAGCCCGGCCCTTTGCAGTGAATTCTTGGCTGGGCATTAGGCAGCCACCGCGCTTGCACTCTGCACGTGCTCAGGGGAACTTCCCATCCCCCAGTAACCCTCGCTCCCTCCCTCCCTCCGTTGCCCTCCGCGCGAAGAAAGGCCCCACCCCGCCGCCCCGCCCCTTGGCCCTCTCGCCGAGCGATGAGCTCGGGGCTCTGCTCGCCGCCCCTTGCCGCGCGATCGGGGGCGCCGCTCCTCCCGCGCGGCTGCCCCGCCTGCGCCGACGTCGCGGCGCGCCTGCGCAGTGCGGGCGAAGATGGCGGCTGCCCCTGGGTCGCTGCAGGAGGAGGCGCTGAAGCGAAAGGAGCGGCTCAAGGCGTTGCGGGAGCGCACCGGGGCGGCCGCGGCCAGGCAGGTGGGCGAGCGGGGAGCTGGGTGCGTGGGGGCCGGGGCCGCGCCCGGGGCGCGAAGGAGGCGGCCGAAGGCGGCCGGGCTTCTGGCGCCCAAGGGAGAGGCCTCGTGGGGGAGGGGCGTCGTGGCTCTGGGGGCGGGGCGACGTGACGTCAGAAGAGCCCCGCGGGTCGGGCTCGGAAACAGCCCTTTGCGGGCTCCCCGGTGCGCTGGGCTTCAGGCTCTGTCGCCATTCCTAGATCGCTTGGCCTGGGCTGCGGCGCCCATCATTCCCAGCCTGGCCTGGACTACAGCTGCCATTATCCCCATCAACTGCCCCTGTGGGCAGCAAGCTTAGCCCAGCAGACATGCTGGTTGGGAATGATGGGGGTTGTAGTCCCGCACGTTTAGAGGGCGCCAGCTTGGGGGACACTGCCCAAAGTGCTCATCCGGTCCGGCGTCTGGGTCCCTGTCGAGGCCGAATCACTGCATGTTAGCAATGTGGGAAGTGCTTTATGTCGTTAACGAGCTGGAATCTTTAAAACCCTCTTAGGACAGGTCAGGGTTATTTTTCTCCATAGCAGATGTGAGGGTCCTGAAGTTGGAAGAGGGAGTGTCTACCTTAAGGCCCCCATCCTACTGAGTTGGTGTGAATTGTATGGGACATCCTGATTCACAGTCCACACTCTGAAAGTCTCTTTCTCAAGAGTGTCACTTTTCTTGAGAGAATGGCAGGGGCATATTAGTTAAATAAAAATGGAGCTTGCATGTACCGAAGCAACATATAGGTGCTGAGGATAAGTGGAGCAAAAAGGCGGCTTCTCTGTCCTATTGTCCTGCTTTTCCCAGGGGCATCTGGCTAATTTGTTGAAAATTAGACAGGCACTGGGTAACGTGCACTCTTGATCCAATTGAGCAAGGCAGTGGTTGCTTTTTTAATGTGCTGCAGTCTGCTGGAGCTTCAAGAGGGCTGGTTTGAAGTATTTTATTTATCAGTAACTTAAACACTGAGGAAACATGAATCCTTTACTCATTCCAGAAATGTTTCTATCTTAAACTAGATGATCTTATCAAGTCTGGCATCTGGAAAGCACATTTATGAGGGGAAGGTTGCTGGAATAGCTTTTGGAGGTCTAGAGCAGGAGATTTGGATTCCAGGAGGATGAAAGTCAGGCAGGGGGTTATGAGGCAGAGAATGTGAGTGCTCTGGAAGGGGAGGAAGGGACCTTTAATTTCTTGATGGGATCTGTCTGTTGTCACAGAGTACATATGGCCAATAAGGAGGGGGTCTCACTGTTGCGTGTTATAAAACCAGAGAGCGCAAAGTAGATCTCCTGATGTTCTGGACTTTAACATGCAACCTTCTTGGCCACTGGCCTTGCTGATAGGGAGTTCTGAAAGCTGAAGTTCAAGACACCTGTCTACCTCTGTTATAAAATACTTGCTATGTGTGTGCAAATGGCATCATATTGAACTGCAGAAGAGTCAGAAGGCTTGGGCTTTGCGTTCTTTTTCTTGTTGTTAGCCTGGAAAATGCCACGAAAAGTTGCAGCACTGTGTAATTAAATGCTTAATACAGCAGTATTCATTAGGTATTTTCCATATAAAGGAAAGGTACTTGGCTTTTAGCTTAGGGACAAAAATCCAAGGTGTTATAGTTGGTATTTATGTTGTTATAAATGTTACCAAGTGTGAAAACAATCCACTTACTCCCAGTGCTCAAGAACATGGCCGTCCCGTGAAACTGACTGGCACTAGTTTCAGAGTGTATGGCTTGCATATATGCAGTTGTATGCAGTGAGTCTTTGTCAATGATTAGTCAAGTGGTAAGTTGCTTTAAACAGGGTCAACCAATTTTATGGGGACTAGATCCACCAGTGGCCCTTACCACTGGTGGAGTTTCCCTCTTCAAAGTATATCTGGTACCACTTGCTGAGGGTTAACAGGCATTGGGGCGGGGGGGGGGGGTTCACACATAATGCTAAGTCACCCCTGCAAATAAGCTACCCAGTGTAGATCATTAGGTCAGTGACCCGCAGTACTCCTCAAAGGTGATTGAGCTTGGTGTGGGTTGTTCTTTCTCTCCTTCCCCTCAGTCCTCCCGCCAGTGCCAACATGTATCCCAAGGGACCCAGCAGCAGGACCCATCTTGTCTTCTCACCTCCTCCACTTGTTACCTCTTTTCACTCTCCAGCCTTTTAGTTGGTTGTTTGTAAATATGTGTAGCCTTCGCTAGTCCCTTCTCTTGTGTGTTTCAGCTGTCAAAGGGAGCACTGAAGTAGAGTAGTGAACAGAAAAGGACATTGTGAAAAACTGAGGGAGAAATGATCTTAAAGGAGGGTCCCATTAGCACACCAAAAGTAGGAGAGTGAGAGCCGAAGGAGCAAATGCACCAAAGAAAAGGAGGGGTAGTGTCTCCCTGCTGTCAATATGATCCTTAGGGTTTTAAGTGAGGAACTGAGAGTTTTCATGTCCTTCGCCTTTTCAGCACTTCCCCTGACTTTTCAGTGACTCCAGAAAGCAGTACCTTAACTTCCGCTTCTTTTCAGAGTGCTTACTGCTGTGATTACATCTATCCCTGGCATTTTTAAAAAACCTAAGAAGGTGTTTGCATGGGATGAAGTGAATGGAGCCCCATCAGAGGTGCAGGTGTAAGTGCGCTTGTGCTGGCACCCAGGTTGTTCCAATTTTTTCAGCTGCCCTGTATGGATTTAAAAAAAAAACCTGATGGGAATATTTGTGCATTTTTGCACTAGGAACTAAATGGATGGAAAGGTCTGTGAGCTTAATGGCTGGGATGGAAATGGGATGGGAATTTGCACACTTGCTGCAACAAAAACTGCAAAGAGGGGTAGGGGGCTTCACTGTTCTTGCCAGAGCAGCTCCGTAATCAGTTCCAGCAACCACAATGAAATTGCCCTCCTGGGTCTGGAGGGTAAAACCTAACTACAAATAACGGCCAGCACAAGCCTTAGGTTGTCAGGATGGCTTTTTCATGAAAAATCAAACCTGTGGAAAGCAGTCTGCTTTGGCACAACAAACCAGCATGGGTTGTTGTGTCATGTGGACCCGGTGACTGATGTTTTCCATTCTGTCCTGTTTGCAAGCTTTCCATGAGCATCAGACCAGAATAATGGCTAGAATAAATGAGGCAATTCATTCTTTATATCATGCATATGTTGTACAGCTTTTCTTGGGACGTGTCTGCATGAATTTGACATGAGATGGTTCATGGGTGTTCTGTGCTAAAGTCTGCACCAAATCCTAAGGGTGCGATGGTGTGAACTGAATTTATCCTCAGTGGTTAGACCCAGGCAAGGCCATTAAGCACTTGCTCTCTTGCATGCCATTTTCTACTTCAGCTGCACGCTCCTTGTCTCAATCCATTGCTTTTGCCTATTGGGTGCCCTTTGTCTTTTAATTAAAAAGAAAGATGATAGCTGAGGGCACGCAGGCGCTCTCCTTGCTGCGAGTGCCCCTAAGAAGCTGCAGTTCTATGAATTATCCATGTTAAGAATAAAGTGATCTGTCTGGCTCATCGGGCAAGATAAACTGCCTATCCACAGCTCATGGTTTATTAATAGTTTGACTAATAAAGTTTTCTGACAGCTCTGGAAAACGAATTGCTTTGGCTGAAACCTGCTTCTGCGGTTTTGCTGTAATTTGCTTTGGAGCACTCCAATAACATTTTGCATGACCTTTTAGGTGTTGAAAGGTGCTAAAAGGCACAAGACTAGCCTAACGTAGGGCACAATTAGCACTGGAACCATTTTCTGTGCAAAACTCATTAAAATTGAATATTCACAGTTAGTGCTACTTTTATTCACTTCTCAGGATACAAAACCCTTCCAGCATGGCTGAGGAACAGGAGCAAAATAAACTAATAAGATCACAGTGAAGATCATGAACATAGCAAAAGTAATCAGAATTCTTCCCACAGGATAGTCTATACTAGATGGTCTGGTAAGGGTCCAGCTGGAACAAACCGTAATATTTTTCTCACCTGAGTCCCTTGCCAAGCTTCCCTGAGCCCTTGCAGTAGCCCAGCACAGCATCTGGTGTTTGGATGCTGGCCTTCAGAAATACCAGAAACTCAGGCAAAGAAGTACATGACAGTCATCTTCATGTGTTAGTTGTGACCGCACTGGAAGCAACCAGTTAGAAACCAAGTTGGACTAGAAAGGCCTTTGGCCTCATCCGGTAGGGCAAGTCATGTTTTGCACCCAGAGTTATATTGGTCAGTTGCAACTCTGTATAGGAATTTCCCACACAGCGGCCTCAAATGTGTGGATGCGACAGCTCTTCAAAAGCGGGTGTGAATAGGAGTGGCATTGAATGTCGTCCCAGTTTGGGTATTTCAAAGTCTTCTTCGCAGTGGTGGAGGCTCTTTCTATTCCGCTAGCCACTGGTTGTGCTTCCTTTGGTGAGCATTTCCCATACTGTGAACCAAAGTGGTGGTTTGCACGGATGCAAATAGCTGTTAAGGTTTTAAGGGAGCAGTGTTTGGGTCTATACCAGCCTGCAATGGATGATCCTTTATGTGTGCCCTTCAGTGACACATTTCCTGTTTTCGTACCACATGAGGAAGTAGAACCGCATCTTTAGCTCACAGAAAGCAGGCTTTTTAAAGACAAAGAAAAATAGGAAAGAAAATACTTGGGCTAGTGTGAAAAGGTCTGTGGCTTGCTCTGCCTGGAGTAGGAAGCTAAATTTGTGTTGCTGTCTAAATACCGGATGCAAATGCTGGATGGTCTCCTTAACAACCAAAGCATGGTTTCACAGGCTGTTGGAATTACCAACTGCTGTTTTAACAAACAGTCATCATCAAGGCACAGGTTCGATAAAAACAGAAAACTTTTAAAGAAAAGAGCATTATTTTATTCAGATCAGTAAAAATTTGATCTAGTGTTTTAAAAGTACTGACTGTCCCTTTAAAGATAACCTGGGTTAAAACGATACCTGATTGCGATACAAACATGCTCATAAAGTTAATATAATCTCTAAAAACAGGATTTCTCACCCTCT